ATGTTAAAATAAAGATTAATTTTTATAATTTTTTATACAAATTATTATAAAAAATTATATTTATTACACTTTAATTTATACATTTAAAATATAAATTAAACCAAATTTATATTAATTTCAATATAAAAGTCAATAATATTTCTCTTGAGAACTTTGATAAAGTTGAAGGAAGTTTGATTTCTTAAATGATATTTTCAACCTTTTCTTCTTAAAATAAAAGAAATAAAATTTTAAGCAAAAGATATTAATTCTAAAAGTAATGCTCTAGTGGCAAAAGTTATTAAAAAATTGAAGTCAAATGTTCGAACCTTAGAGATGACAAATTTAAGTTTTGAAGTTTCAACTGACTAACCGTAGAAGAAAAAAAAAAATGAAGCTGCAGCCTCTTGGCGGGTTTACCAAGTTTATCGGGCTGGACGAGTCAAGCGGTTTTCCGAGTTTGGATGGTTGGTTCGCCAAAACGGGCTTGGGTGTCCACCCAGCTCGTTTCAACAATTGGATGGCGGTTGAACCGATTAGATCGATTAATCTAATTTGGTTTTAAAAACACTGGCTCAGATTTATTTTAGTTTCAAGTCCTATAGTTTAGTTTTAGTTTAACGTTTTAGTGTAAATTAGTCTTCAATTTTAGTTTTAATATCTTTCCTTTAGAAATTCCAAAAATTAGTTGCAATTCTTTGTGAAAGCAATCTAGTTCTCTTTTTGTTGGTTTTGTAATGGTAATATTCATTGCCTTTAGTGATATTTCTTTGTAATAAGATTGATTGCTTTCTTGTATTGTTTTCCTAGTTTCTTTTAATTTAATTAAGTGATGTCAATAATTAAGTTCATATTTTGTTCCATATCTATTAATTTATATTTCATGTTACTAGTAAATTTTCCATGTTTCCAATTTCATTTACTTAATTTATTTTCCCGCATTTAGATTTTTTTTTTTAGAGTTCTATTTGAACTCAATCTACAATTTTAAAATTCATTTAGATTTTTAGTAATTTGAAGATAATTTACTTTTTTTTTTGCAGATTTAGTTTTTCTCAATTATATTAGTTTGGAAAAGTCCTTGAAGTCATATTTAAGGCATTTTATCATATTACCCATTTAATGTAAGAAGTTCATCCCTTGTTTTTGCCAATTGTTTAATAATTAAAGCATAATTTATGACGTTTTTCCATCAACTCACAATTGGCTTTCACACTTAAAAAAAAGAGATGGTCATTGGAAAAATCTTTTTTATTTTAAGTAAAATAAGTGACATGCCGTTTCACTTGCCACGCATTAAAAAGATTTTTTGAGATAACAATTTCTATTAATTTTTAAAATCTAAATATAAAATTCTCAACTCAAATTATTAAATTTTTATCACACATTTGAGACATGTAACTTAAACCAATATCTCCTTAAATCAAAGATGAATTGGGGAAGACTTGAGCTTATAATTTTGAAGTACCGAAATCTTTACTAACTATGACGTTTGATGGTATTATTTTTTTTTTCAATGGTTACAATATTTTAGTGTCAGTTTTTATGTATTATGAAATTAATCTTTCATCAAGTAATCTTAATGATGCAACCATCACATTAATTTGGCGCATCAAAAAATTAATTTTTCTTAAATGTTGACTCAAAGAATTAAATATTAAATTTAACTTATAAAACAACATTTATTTACACTTGAATTCAATTCTTTGACATTAAAGTTACGACATTTGATGTCATAGCAACAGATTTGCACGGAGAAAAATTTTAGTTAGAGAGCCACTTCATTAAGAAAGTTTTTTTTATTAAAAAAATAATTAGAAAAATATTGTATAAAAAATTAAAAAGTATTATATAAAAAATTATTAAATTTTGTAATGAAAATTTGTTAAGTTATTAATTTTACT